TAAACATTTTACCATTCAGGGTAGGTATCATTCCACTGCTTTTTGGCTTGGATTTGGCTATTTATTTTTTTCTTGTGATTGTTGACTTTTTATCTCATCTATATTTAACTTATCCAAAACAAAAAGATTCTAAAATGTAAATTGTTAAAGAATGTACATTATGTCTAAATAGAGCTAAACTAAATTAAAGGGTATAAAAATAAAGTACATCCTTTGTAATTAATTTTAACTTTTTTTATTCTTATCCCCAGAACTTGTATACATAGGGATATAATATTTAAGAAGAAAACAACAACTTTGTTCCTAACATAAATATTTCAGTACTAAGAGATATTGGAATGCTTATGATATTTGTATATTGTTATTAATATTTAGCTTATTTCGGAACTATTAAGTATACGATTACTGTTAGTATAGGTTTATTATTTCTGATTTAGTTAGTATTATATGTAGTTGGTTTCATCTGAAGTAATCTAGACATAATAAGGTACTTAAAAAAGCCTAATGAGTGCTACTCTAGCATTTTGGCTGATTACTATGATTACCGTTCAGTGTCTATGTTGATTATTGAAACCTAGGATGGCTAGTTTTGTGTTTGCTAAATTTATCTTGAAGTTCTATTTCAAGCTCTCTTTGTCCATCATCAATAATTTATTTTCTTGTTGCAGTCCAATGTTTAGGAGGCCTTTTCAGGGGTTTTAGATATATTACCAGTTCTGGACGAATTTTGCCTGGTTTTTCTGTGTCCAAACAGTGATTTGTGTTTAGCATACAGTTCAAATTTTGTGTAGTGTTGCTACTCTGCAACTGTCAATATAAGAGTTCCGGTGCATTTACTGATAAATGGTAAAGGTTATGCCCTGAAATCTGCCAGTAGAGGAAAAATGTTCAGAAAGCTAATGTTCTTATTTATAAAGAGAATAACCATTAACTTAACACCTGAGTATGGCATAATTCATTTCCACGTAAAAGTACCAATTAGATGATTGCAGAAAATGAACTTACTTTGTATAGATAAGATTGTTTGTGTCTATTTTCCTTTTTTTTCTTTCGATTGTTATCTACTTACAGTATTTGTATTATGGCTAGAATGTCGAGGGGAGCTTATGCTGCTGCTGAATTAGAATTTGAAACAACATTTTGCTAAACAAATGAACAAATTGTACTCTTTTCCATTGTTCAGGTGGCAGCGTATGATACAGTGGAGAAGAAGATGGCATTTTTTGATCCTTCACGCGCAAAAGATTTTCTCTTCATCTCTGGAACTAAAGTATGATATTTTCTATTTTCTCAACTTTTGCATTGTCAGCCTCCTTCAACCTGAAAAGAACTAGAGTTCACATTCATTATGAGTGTCTTTGATTCCATGTTATTTTGAGGGTTTTGTATCTGTGGGATTGTAGAATTGCAAATTTCTCATAACAGCTAATTAAATGGAACTTAACTGGGGAACCAGGGGTATTGACATGTAGAGGCTATAGTTTAGACTATGTTTGGAATAAAGTCAATATTTACATACCCACATTTATTTTAACTAGAAGATGATTAGAGTTTTATATTAAAAAAATAAAAATTGAGGTCATGCGAAATTTCAAATGAAATTGGAACAATACGATCTAAATCTCATCAATTTTAATGAAACTTGAAATATATTGTTTCAATTACACATGAAATTTCATGCATACTTGATTTTTGCATCTTAGTAGAATTGTATATTCTTTGCAAATGAATTTCATATAATTTCAGAATTTGCTTCAAAGACAGTAATAAGGTCTTTCTATAGTTTTCGAGAAGATTATGAAGATGTAGTTTGGAAGAGAAGGCAGGGAATTGGGTGGCAGTTTCTGAAGAGCAACCTATTTACCTTTTCATTAATTATTTTCATGATCTTCGGGATCGAGAATTCAGTTTCTGTATGAAGCACAGTGCATTACATCCAGAAACTTGTTTGTCAAAGAAATTAGTAGATTCATATAAGCCTTTTCATGGGATATGTGCACATGAACATTCAAAATGTAATTTGTTCCTGCTATTGTCTTTCTGCAGATGAGAACATATGCCCGGACTGGCGAGAACCCTCCTGCTGGATTTATGTGTCCTGGGGGGTGGAAAGTTCTTGTCAAATATTACGAGAGCTTGCAAGCAGAAGAGCCGCAGCCGGCTGCTGTATCTTCTTGATCACTCAATTAATTGCAGAAATTGCTGCAAGTTAATATTCAAGAAGCCTCTTATTATTCTTAGCTCCAACTGAGGCACCATTCAATTTTAGTCTTGAGTATCTATTTTAAGATTCATTTTTCTCTTCATGTTTTTTCAGAAACATTGAGATAGAGAAGAAAAATATTTTGGGAGCTTATTTTGGCAGTTGATGTAAGAATATAGTGAAAACATTTGTTATTTTAACATTAAAGGGGGGCTGTCTGGTTATTAAAAAATATTATCTTAGAAATATAAATGAAGAATGTTTCTATTTTTCAAAATTTTATTTTAGGTTCTTGTAATCTGAAAAGTAATCAAACTTGTAGAAAATAGATATAAGACTCAAAAATATATACGTTACAGCACATGTAAAAAATTAAACAAAATATAAAACTAGTCATGCAGATATTTTTCTCCCAAGGCTGCGCGCACCTGGAATTATAAATTATGAATTTTTAAATTTTAAAGATGGTTCACTGAACATAAGAATATTAAAAGAATGGAGTAATGCTTAAAAATAACAACTAATTCTATTAAATATATTAAAGAAATTATTTAGAAAAATAAAATATAGCAAATTTAAATATTTAAACTACATATTTAACGGTGTACCGTTGATGACCATGTCGAGTTATATAATCTCAAGTTCATAAACATTTTATTAGACATGTATCGCGAGTGCATCCTCTTCATATTCTTTGAATGTATTCATTTTTTACTTCAAAGATAAACAAATCCGGGAATGTAATCGCAAGCACAAAACAATAACAATCATATGATTTTCCTAAAGCTAGTCAGTAGAATAGAATTAAAGAATGCCGAAGATTGTGATTTACAGAAGAGTTTTGACGTCAAGCACAAGCTCATCAAATTATCAGAGGAATGGATTACAAAACAACTCCATCCCTATCCCAAAATAGAGGGGCATCTGAGGCCATGTGAAAAATTTTTCCTATTCCATGTTACCGTACCTAAATTTAAATTAGATATGGTTGTAAGCGGCCAAAAGCACACTATTATTACTCTTCCTTCCACTTATTAACATATTTAAGGAATGCATTCGCCGGATTTTCCCTAGGTGGTGCCCGTACCCTAGTAGATCTTCGAAGCACAGCCTCTTCCGCTGCAATCTTGTAGGCCAAGTCCTTCAACCTCTTCTGGAGTCCCAAACTGTAAAAATGCATTAGAAAACATACTAGTTACTCAGCACTGAATGACTATGCACCAGCCAATAAGAATCAAAGCCAGACAACAGATTTTTGCACTGATATGGAAATGATTATGGAAATACTATTCATCATCAAGACACTAATCAGTTCTAAAAATTAGCTACATAAGGGACAACATTAACTGTTGCTACTTTCCAATATTTTTCTTCTCTTCTTTTGTGCCTTCTATCATTGTATTATAATCATTCATTATTTCCAACATTCTCCACAGTAAAACCCAAGTCCAGGTTTGTTCAAGAACAAAGTTAACTCACCATATTCTGTCATAGAATTTTGCCAGCTGTTTCTTTAGTGCGCACTCCCTCTCCCCCTTGCAATTCAGTGAACCCATCAAAGCCTCAAGCTGAATAGACGAGAAAGAAAAAAATAATGTGAAAGTTGAAATAATAATAAAGGAAATGCATATAAAGGAATACTGCGTATTCAGCAATGATACCTCTTCCTTGGAACTATAGTATCCCCACTGCCTGGAATCAGAGCTCTCAACAAATATCCTCCCATCACGCTGGAACCACCAGTACCTGGTGTAATCTCTGTCTTTACCAAGAGGACTTGTGCGTATAACTCGTTTCTCTATTTCTCGTGCAAAATATTCTTTCTGTGATTTATGAGATGTCAACAAAATTCCAAAGTAAACTTCAGAGCACAATCATACACAAAATAAAAGAAGAATTAAGGATAGAGATCAGACCCTCTGTTCTTTACTCTTCTTTTCTGATGCTTCTTTCTTATCATCTATCAGATGTTTCATTGGCTCCTTCCCAGAAGAATCTTTTACATTTTCTGCTTCCATTTTCCCAATTTGTTTCTTGTCGATCTTCTTCTCTCCATTTTCCAAATGCACGTTCTCGCTGTTAAAATATTATGATATGTAAGATTCAAACCAAGCAAAAATCATTAGCAAATGCATTTTTTACAAAAAAAAAATGGAAAATAAATCAACACCTTTTCTCCAATAGACCGTTCTCTTGAGAAGAATTTTCCGCATTTCTCTCCCCTGCAACAGTTCCATTCTGTATATGATGATTATCACTAGCGACTATATCCATGTTGGTTTCTGTCCCTTCCAAACCATGTCCATTCATGACGCCATTGGCATCAGCGCCAGCATCAGCGTCAGCATCAGCCATCATCTTCTCCTTCCGTTCTCTTTTCTTTCTACCTTCCTCCAACGCTTCACCCCTTCTAGTGGCTCCAAGCGCCCGCCGCTGTTCAATATGATCACCCAGCTTCTCTCTGAAAAGATCTGTTTGAAGCACCTGATTAACTAATTCTCGCAAAATGCCTAACTTAACATTGGGATTCAGAAGGCCATAATGCCCTCGCTTTATGAGAGCAATATGCGAGCATAATTCAGGAATGTTGATCACTTCCAAGAAATCACATAAATATTCTGCCCAGCTGATTAATGTAATCTGAAATAAAAAATAAATAAATAAAATATTGGAGTAAAACAGGGTGAAATGGAAATTCTTAAAAGAATTAGGAAAATAAATATTGAATAAAGAAGAATTAACTTCTGCATTCGTACATACTATTCCAACAAAAATATGGAGTAAAGCAGGGTCTTTTACCTTTAATTTCCGTGTCCTTCTCTGTACATTCAAGAAATATTCACTATTGTCTCTCATAAGGGCGCCAAAAAGAGATGCATGCAGTTCCACAATGAGAACCAAATTGCTGTCCTTGTGGCAGATAGCATTGTCAAAATCCTCAAGAGAGAACGGCCATAGATGTAGCAGCCTACTAAATGAAGAACAGAAATCCCAGACCATCAGAAGATCTCCAACACAATCCATTGGGACATTGAAGTCCCTTGAAGGAGAAGGTCGGTCAGTAAGAATTGGATCGTGAGGACTAGGCTGCACCAATGCATCATCAATTGGATATTTGATAGGTTCTTCCTTCATCTCATTATCTTCTGAAAAAGTTAGAACACAAATTGGATCACCTGAAAGGCATGGATACTTCTAACCTACTAAAAGTTTTCAAGGAAGTGACCCTTAGCAAAAATCAACCATTCAGGTAGTAATGAAAATAAAGTAATAACAAGTGATTTGCAGAACACGAGATCCTGGAAGATCAGGGAGATCCAGCTTTTAACACAAAAATAGCTCCAGTTCTAGAGCTTACCTTTCTCTGTATGATCTGCCACTGACCGTTCAAGTTTGCTATTCACTTTCTTCCTTTTGCTTTTTCCAGATTCTTCTATAACTTCCTGGATTTAACAAATTCATACATCATTTTATATACTCTATTAATATGTAAAGCACTTTATATACTCCATTAATATGCAAAGCAACAGAAGACCGCATAATTACCACAACATTCTCATTTTTCTTTCTCTTCTTTTTGCCTACAAGTTGTCCGTCCTGGAATAAAAATTTACTTTGTATCTCTTCTGGAGGATCAGTCGAAATTCCATGCTTCTGTGCCAGCTTGCCATGAAGGATCCAAGGAATACTTCGGCTTGTGGATTCCCGAATAAAAGACTTCAAAACATTTCTACTAAAAGGAAACTTTTTCCAGACCAAATCTTCTGCATTTACCTGTGAATTTTCAGATATTTTCTTATCTTTGTCAAACCATCCTACTTCATATCGAGGTTCCTTGGTACCCTCCTTGGCAATGTTAAGTATTTTGCATGGATATAAATCGCCATCCTTTCTTCCAAATAACTCAGCACCAACAAACAGATGCTGCTGCAACTCTGAAGCTATTGTATTGGCAAGATCTTTTAGTGAAAGCATACCTGCCAAATAACAGAAAAAAGGAAAAGCTTGATTGAGAAACTAGAAAGAATTTGACCCTTCACCAGGAACTTTTTATAATTCAACAAGATTCTGAAACTTCTCAATTACTTGCCATATTTGGGAATATTTTAGCATGATAAAATTACAAGTGTCAAAACAGTTACTTGAAATCAGTTTCCATAGAGTTGGTCACACAACCTAGGATTAAAATAAAAGGATGCCAAGCACTTAAAATCGTCAATTTTATAGTAAGGGAAAACTCTATTCAAGCATGAATTTCTATCACATTCTAGGTGTTTTATTTAAGGTTATGTCTAATTCCTTATTGTAGTGATTGGAATATTACTTTCTGGTCTTTTTTAAAACTAACCTCTTACTTACTAATTCACTACTTGAGCTGAAGGAAATGAAAAAGAGAATCCCAAAACTTTTGGTCGCACATCACTCACATCCACAAGTTTTCATGAGAACAGCAACAAAGGGTCATGGCAACTAGTAAATAATCACCATAAATCTTTATTCACCCATATCAGGAAAGTGAAACATTTTCCTGGTCATGGGTTACATCACTTCAGATAAATGATGTAATTGAATAAATGTTATTTTACTAAGCAGTGGTAGATTCACATCACTATTCTGCAAGTTCATTTGAGGTCATAACAACGGAAATAAGAAAGGCAAAGAATTTTTTCTACTTTCAATTTTCAAACTCAGTTCCCCATTAACATCTCAATAGTTGCAGTTCAGCTACTGCAGGATGACCAATGCATGCTTTGCTCTTCGATATGTAAACCATCCTTAGCTGTATAGACAAGAGTCTGATGAATCTCCATCAGGTTGTAATACTACTCCCAATTACAAAAACTTGTCCGCCAACTCAGACCTCTAGCGTCTTACTATTTTTGCTAATATCGGATTTTGCTAATTTTAACACTCTGCTCCTGAAGCCTCTTGTTCTATCGACCTTTTTCTTAATAGGAACTAACCTAGCATTTGGCAACTTACAAAGAAAGGATGCTTGCATGAGTAAAAATAACCATGGAAATGGTAATACCTAAAATCACTAACAACTTGCAAATGATTGTTTCATATTATTCATATTCTTGGCTGCTTTAATCGAGTATTAATATATCCAGTTCTATCAGCACTGTTGCAACATGACAAAACTACAAAGGAGCAACAGAATTATGCCACAATAATAATACAAAGTAGGCACAGGCTCCGGCTTCTACCCTAAAACTTTTTGAAGTTGGTGCTGTTAGAACCACACTAGTTAATGACTGTGCGATTGTGGAAGTTGAGCTGCATCACAAAGTAATAGACAATAAAAGCATTTACATATATAATCATCGACGAAGGTAACAATCACCCACACAACCATATAACATTATTGTAGAAGTACTATTAAACTATATGTTACAAGCATTTTGATCAAATAATTCAATGCTCAATTTTCATAACATAAACCTGGTTCTTTTTGAAATAAGGTAAATCTAATCCCTTGTTAATTGCCACCCATATTCCAAACAAGAATACAGCTTTAGCCTCAGGATTCTAGGAATATTCTCAACCAAGAAATACGTTCATCTAGAGGATTGTGATCTTACCATTAATATTGAACTGCGACTTACCATTAATATTGAACTGTGACTAAAATACAACACATTGATCTCAAAATACACAGCCACGAAGGAGACAACTGACCTTCTAGATATTGAACTAAAAGCATTTGAATATCTAATGACGGAGAAAATTAACTACCGAAAATTTACAACCGTTGACACAATCTAAAGTATACTGAATATGTAACATTTAACCATATGTTTTTTTTTTAAATAAAAGAAAGTGTACATTCACAAGGCACCAAGGGGGTGCAACCCATGTACAAAGGTATTACATATTAGTTAACCAATCAATAATATGCCCAAAATCATCCACCCTATACACGTCATGCCCCAAAATTAAAGACCCAAAAAGATATAACCATCTATCTCTAATTTTAATGAAGTCATTTTCTACTCCTTTGAAGATCCTACCATTCCTTTCTTTCCACACAATCCAAAAAAAAGTGAGTGGAATAAGATTAACTAGCTTCTTTAACCATATGTTAATCTGAAATATTCGTGTATGTAATATTTAACCATATGTTAATAGCATTTTGACCATGGATTGATGTTCAATCTCAAAAGACAAATCCAGGTCTAGATTAGTAAGGAAAATATAATACTACAACCTCTTCCACAAATGTTCCAAACAAGAAGACTGCTTTAGGCTCGTGTTATGAAAAAATCAACCTCAAAGAACTTATAAAAAGAAGTGTAGAAAAACCATCAACAAGACATCTAAGCTAATCTTGAAATAAGTTTCCAAAGTTTCATTACTTTCCTATGCAAAAATTCAGCAGAAATAGCAGACGCTAAAATATCATCACATTGATTATAAAAGATTAAAGACAAAAAAAATTTGCTGATACTCATGAACTCCTCCTAAATATATTGAAAACTAAGGCAAAAAAACAGAAGTAAAACAACAGGCACTCTTTAGCTAGTTCTTACTAAATTGGATTGTACGTAGTGCAGGTGCCACTAGCTCCTTGGGAAGCCCTTCAACCTTCTTGGCCGTGCATTTTTCTGACACCAAAGCCTCTTCATATGTCAGGTTAGTTTTTGCAGTAGATTTACACATCCAAACTCGCTTACGATATAGGTTGATCCGTGTCAAATACTCTCTGACCCAGGTCAAGCATAACAAAAAGATGACAATATGCCAATAACAAGAAAGTTGACCATCTAGGCTGCTAAAAACAAGTGAGAGAAACTCAAGCCATTTTTCAATTCTTAACCATTTTGAGCACAAAAAACACCAAGACAACCGAGCTTGGTGGAATAAATCTGACCAATCACATCAAGGGTAATTATGAAAACTAGATTGGAGTCAAACACCAATCTCTATCATCAGTTTTTTGTACAACAGTGAAGGAACCACAATGCAACAAAGAACTAAAGATAAAATTAAAGAGTTTTAAGAAAAGGATACTGATAGTTGCGGAAAATTTCTTTTGTGAACCGAATTTGGTATACAAGCTCATGAGGCTCCAAATCCTTCGGTGGCTCCACCAGAGGAAAAGGCTTCCTTCTAAATAGAGGCATTCTTGAAATTCAAGACACCCACAGCGAGAACAACCCACCAATCAACTGACGGCTAAATATAAACTTACTTCCTGTGACATACAAACCACCACCAACCTTTTAAGCACTACAACGATGTCGATAAACAATCATTCCTTAATTCTTTATAAGACACAAATCTACCAAAAAAACTAGAGACTAACACACACATATTTGATCCAATTTTTTTACTTTTCTAAGTGGCAAGAGAAAAATATAGTTTTGTGCTTTCAATTTTCAAGATCTGATTCCCTTGCTTAGATTTCTATACAAGAGAGAATAAACATGAATTTGGACCCAATTTACAGTCTATTCGAATGGTTCAATACAAAAGACACCGGAACTGAAGCATCTTTTCTTCATGCATGAACCCTAGGAGGAATATACAAAAGAAAATATCAAGCTAACCAATGATTATCCACAGTAACTCTATTGCAAAGACCCCAAGAAGAGGCATCTCATAGATACAAATCATATTACAAGCAGCAGCATTAAGATAACAATGTAGCAATTGCCAATAAGAGAAAACCCTAGAATAGTCATGCTTCACTAAAGCCCAAGAAGTTCCGCTAACCCTTCACTATAATTTGATTCAAACGAAGATGCAAACATTCAGCTTTCGTTATCTATTCTCTTCAGTTATCTGGGCAACCGAACACACCAACCAACAACCAAAAAATTTAAAAGGAAAAACAAACAAATATGCAAGAAAATTCAAGAAACCCTAACACGTTCGAATTTGGGGATCCAAATAATGAAAGACCGACCACTAAAGCGGTCAAGCCGCGTACTCCAACAGACACAACAGGAAAAGAAAAAAGAATCATTTGCGAGAGACGAACAATCAATTGAATTCACAAAAGAAATCAGAAATGCAACAAGAGGAAACCTAAAATCAATCAGAATGACAGAAGAGTCCCGTTCCCGCCACAAAGCCCGGAGTAAAAAGTATTTTAGTCGAAAAGATCAAGAAAGAAAAAAAGAAAACTATAACACAGAGAAAGAAACCTACAGTGAATATATCAAGCGACAATGCACGAGGCAAGAAAGAAAGAAGAGAGAGCGATTCCTGTATTTTTTTTGTTTTCCTTTTTTTTGTTTGTTTTGAAGAGAAAATTCCCAAGCGAAGAAGAAAGTTCTCACGTTTTCTCTTGCTGCCTCCTCCGTCCCTCGTTGTTGGAAAGCATTTATATGAGCTTCGTGTGAATAATTATTATATTTGCACACAAGCCCTCGTAAAATAATCTAATTACACAAATCGTGTGGGCCAGAACCATAATGGGCCTGGGCCTACTTGTTACAATTTAGAAGAGCCCGTTTCAGATCAAACTCATATTCTTCTTAAGCTTCCCAAAAAAGAATTCTAAAAATATTATGCTAATTTCAGTAAATGAATTATTTTTCAAAATAAATCAGATATAAATTTATCAAAAATAAATATTGTAAAATTTAAATTCTCGAGAAATTAGAACTAAGAAAGTAAAATCATTGCGATAAAGCATAAATGAAATTTATTGTTTTTATATTATTTATTTTATTCGATAAGAATAATAATTATAACAAATATTAAATTTATTCATCCATTATAATCACACCCAAATTCTAATTTTTTACGAAGCTGATTTAGAACATGTCTAAGTAGCGATTTATCATATTTAATTTAGATTAATAAAATATTCTCGTAATTACGCATTATAAATATATCATAAAATATATGAGAAATGATTTTCAGAATGTAAAAAAAAAAATACTTAAATGTAATATTTACCAAATAATTAATGATACAATAATTGTTAATTACGTACGATAATTTATTTAAATTAATTATTTATTTCACAAAATTAATTTTATTGAATAAATTATTTTTATTATAAAAAAGAATGTGCTACAAAATAACTTAATTTCAACGTGCATGCCACCGGACCACCATAATCATTTATGTCATCTGTTTATGTAATAAGTTACGAACAAATACGATCACTAGAGAAATTTTATTTTATTGACACCATATTTTTATTTTATTATATTATTTTTGTTTTTAATAAATCCGATTTGCGTACATAATATACCTGCAAAATCAAATTCAAATTCAAATTTTTTAGTTAATTAATTCTTATTTTTTAAAAAAAATAAAAAAAGAAATTCGATTTTCTCTCCTATTTACTACATCCACGAATAATGAAATTATCACTATATTATATTATATAGATGTATTTATGTGAATTTTTTATTTAATATCGATTAAAAAATTAAATTGCTTATGTTTTGAATAATGACAAACCATTTTTCCACATGGTTCATTCAAGTTTCCTTGGAAATAAGAAAAGCATCTCTACACATATGTAATTTTTTATTTTTTTTATAGTAAGATAAGTATTTTACTGTATTAAAATAAATAATTTATTTTTATAAACAATTGCGTCATAATTTTTTTAACACAAATAAATAAGTAATGAATATTTAAAAAAAAAAATACAACTCTAACATGTACAATTTTGCACAAAGTAAATATAGTAATTATTTTAATTTTATATTTTTGCAATAGCTTAGCAACATTTGACATATATATTAAATAATTTCTTAATTTTGTCCATGTTTGTAAAATTTAAATACTAAATGTTGAAAAATAATTTAATAATTTTTAAACCAACCCTCAAATTTATATCACGAACATTTCAATCACACTTTTTCTCTGCAAAGAAAAAGACTGCTACCTAGGGGATTGTCGGCCGCTACAGATATTTATCTTTCTTGTGTACGTGTTTGTCTTCTCTCTCGGGTGATCTTCGTATCGTCTTCATATTTCTTAGGTACAGATTGCACAACCTCTGTGCAAATATAAGCTAAATTAATCATTCAAATATTACGTTGCCATTATTCTGCTTTTCTTAATTTTTTGAGGGTTCAAACATTTTTAATCATATACAAATAAAAGAATCAGACTGAACAGGATTGCATAATTCAAATGGAATCAAAATAAATTATGTTGAATTTGATATTCAGTCTGAATATGCGAGGATTGAAAATTTCAATCAAGATTAGAGATATTAATATGCTAGATAAATAAAATTCAAGTGGATTGGCTTAGATAGGGTTCGAGATTTTGACCTAAGAAGAAAAAGAATTCAAGATCAAACATAATATCCATGGCCTCCCAAAATCTTTTATTCCTAGAGAAAAGATTTACCTGTTACTGATCGTATTCGCCGAGAAATTTGAGAGAAAACTAATCCTAACTCAAATAAAATCTGCTGTACTTTTTAACAAGATCATATACACTTCCATACAGATGCTATCAGAATTCTAGCACATAGATTTCAAAATACCTTTTTCAAGAAAAGAGAAAAAAAAAAAAAAAAAGAAGAAGAAGATAGGACACCACCACCACCCAAACACCCGACAGACCTGCAATCCGGTAAAATCACCATTTAGAAAATTCAGTACTAACCCTTGTTCTTCGTTGCGTTTACCACACCGCTATCCTTCTTCATCTTCTTCCTCAAATGCATCTTCACGTAAAAGTTTAGAAACAGCAACAATATAGCTCCGTTCAGAACCGAATTGAACACCCATGCCCCAATTCCATTACAGCCCCCTTTCAAGAAATGCAGCAACAGAACTCCCACATGGCTCGCTACATTACAACCCAACAGCACCATCTGGCAATTTACGACGAACGGGAAGCACGCGCTCCGTAACCCGATTCCGGTCCAGAACCGGTACCCGTAAACGACAGAGTAAACCAGCGTAGTGAAGAGGATCGCCATTACTTGAAATGACTGAGAAAATTCTAGCCACAAGAACGACATGAAGGTCAGGATTGAATTGTAGAAGAGCTGGAAGAAAGCTAACTTACGGCGCCTAAAGATCGTGAACAACGTTCGCGGCATGTGGAGGAATCGCGAGAGGTAAAAAGCGTATGACCAGAAGAAAACCCGACCCGACGGCCGTGTTCCTAAAGGAAAACAGAGGAGCCATTGGAAGGGAGTCTTGGTACGGCGCCAGAACCATCGGGTTTCGCGGATCTCGGCGGCGGAAGAGAGAAGTATGCCGGCGAAAATAGTGGCGGAGATCACCGACATCATGAGGCTATGGACGGCAGGGATGGGACCTAGGGGGACCGGCCGGCCCCGTCGGAGGAGGAGAGCGAGGAGTAGGTGGAGAAAAGAGGAGAGCGCGAGGTATACGGCGATTGAGGTGAAGAGGAACGACCACGTGGAGCCCCACGATTGGGTGTGGCTCCACCGGAATCCGACGATCGCTGGATGCTCCGATAGGTAATACGTCAGCGCGTTGATCGTCTGGATCATCATTGACCGCCGCGAGTGGCTGGACGGTGGTAGTTGAAGGCGCTGCACTCGGGCTCGGGCTCAGGCTCAGGAATGGAGCACCCTGTCCCTGCTGCAGCAAATTCAGTCATTCAAAATATTGCCTTCTGGTTTTTCGAGTTCCTAATTATAGATTTCGAGAGAGGAGGTTCGTATGGAATTTGGAAATTTCAAGGGAGGGTCAAGTGACTGACGGGAACGAAAATCAAGAAGAAGATCCAGGTGGGTGGTGAGATCCAACGATTGAGATTTCTTGCACGTGTGAAACGAAAAGATCATTCTCGTACGTGCTGATCTGGAAGATCGGACGGCGTAAATGATTCGGACCTGGTTCGGGTCCGTGGATATAATATCGACCCGTCCGAGTTCAATTTCCAATCATCCCGTGTAAATGTGAGCATATAACGCACCGTTGTTTATCTGGTACGCCATTCAGTTTTCGGTTACGTAACCAATCAATAAGAAATATTGGAGATCCGACCCAATTTCGTTGTGTAAGTTTTCATTAAATAAGCATGTATAAAAATACTTGGATCTAAAAAAAGCATGTATAAATAAATGAGAAAATATAAAATAATTTTAAGGTAAATTAATAATGTATTAGATAAAAATGTCATCCTTATGCAATTAACTTTCAAATTAGTTATATATATGATATATGTCCCTGCAAGGCTCGAATTTTAATTTTAGTATAATCTTTATTAGGTATGTAATTAATAGAAACTCTTCATTTACTTTAATTTAGTATGATTTTTAATTATAATTACTGAACTTTTTAATTAAATATTTTATTATATTATAACATGTGTTCTCACTAGTTATATTTTTATTATATTATATGAGTTGCATTACATATTGAATAAAAAAATCTAATTTTTTTATTAAATAAGATGCAGATAAAATATTTTGATTAGTTGGTCAAATGTGCAAATTAATTAACTTATAAACTAAGTTACCTTTTAACAGTCTCACCAAAAACTTACTTTTACTTTTGATAGCGTAGTCCAACCGGTAGTAAACGCCGTCAAAGTTAAAAGGCAACAATTGAATCATGTGTTTCTCGTGCCGTTGTTAATTGACAGTTAACAATCACCGTACCGTTAATTATTTTTTACTGCTTCAATAAACAAAAACTATAATCCTTAACCATTATAAATTAATTTAATTTTAATTGTAAATTTATGCATATTTATTTTTCGATTCGAATAAGTTTAGATAAGTTTGATTTCTTATATTGCTTGATTTTATTATAATTTATATTTTGTAATTTTTGTGATAATTTAATTATTATATAATTTTTTAATTTACGTAAATTGTTCTTTTTTTTTTAAATTATTATCTTATATATATATATATACATGTATGTACTACATTGTCTAGAATTAATGTTTAGTCTTCAACTTCTGTATGTTCGTGTTTAGAAATTCAAACATGTAAATATATTATCTAAACAAATATGTAAGCATGTAAATTAATGCTTTTAAGATCAAAATTCCAAATTAATGTGCAAGATTAATTTTATTTTAAATTAGATAAGTCTAATTTATAAACTATAAAATTAGGGTTTATATATTTATATATAGGCTTATAAAAATTGTGGGAATTGGTATGGGTCGGTGGCATGGCCGCATCTTCCACATAAATGGCTCTGGACGGTGGGGACTCACAATCAGAGCCATAAAATCACCATATTAATTAATAAATACGTCCTTCCTCCATCATAAAATATACATACACACACACATATATATATACATATGTCCATCCTCACCTACTTACACCAACTCCAGAGGTCGCTTCAAAACATTCATAAATTTATCGAAAAAACAAATCTGTTCTTTTCATTTTATGTAGTCTTTGAAAACATTGTTTGAAGAACTGTCGGCTATTTATATTTATTAAATTTAATTTTTATATTGTGTATCCAAAATATATATATACATATAAAGTATGAAGTGCTTATGGTCTCGCAACGAAATTATATATATATATACATATATAATTTTAGAAGATAACAAAATTATATTTGTATATTATTGTTGTGGTGTGGTTTGAAAACAATCATTTCTTCTACAAAGTTTTTTAGAAATAAAATTATATATTAGAATTCAATCTTTGATGATGTGAATGCCATGTTATAATTTTTTAGGGCAGATTATTAAACTTCTATCAATTATATTTTATGTAAATAATTAATATTTATATTCATATTCTCGAACATTATATTCGAGTATTATATCATTCGTCATTCGATATATGGTATACATCATTTGTTATTTGATAACAGAGAAAAAATAATAATTTTAAATAAAAAATTATATAACTTGAGAAAAATAAAAGTAGGTAGAAATTATTATTGTTATTATTATTTGAAAAATATTTATATGATTTAATTATAGGAGCCCCATGGTAGATCAAGAATAAATCTTTTTTATTTGGGCAGCTCTTATTATATACTAAGAAAATTTTAACATTATGATATTAGATTTGTCGAGTAACAATACTTGGTTTTTAAACATAAGTATGCTAGTATATGATGGTATATTTTATTATTATTTTATACAAAAGATAGTTAAAAAAGAGTTATGTGGGATTGTCGAGTTTTTTTGAAGTCTTTGTCATCGAAGCATGGAATATGAGAAGGATTAAAACCTCGAATATGTATTATAGTATAATTGGGAGGTTAACTATTAGAGCTTTTTTTTTTAAGCTATGAGACTAGTGACATTTAAGATGTTTATACTATCTCTATAGAAAATATTATCTATAGTACTCATTAAAATTATGTTATCCAATAGTATAAGATAAAATAATTAAAATATTAGTTATCGATGGGACGAGTTATTCAATAATATATTTTAATGGTATTGAAAAGTTAATCATTGATTTTTTTTGTAAACTCATTAATTTTTGATATGTGATTCTTATCATCTTTATAGATAATATTTTTCAATATTTTATGGGTCAAATCATCCCAATTTTTATTTAAATAAATTCTTTATCTCTACTTTTTTTTTCTTGTTTCATAATTTTATAATTATTTTTTTATAGTACAAATTATGAGTAAATATTTAATTCAATAAAATAATCGAATTACTCGTTTAAAAAAAGTATTTGAATATTAAACGATATATTAAGGTCATCCCCCTCTTGATTAATGAAACTAGTCAAGCATAATAGTCATAATATTGGTTATTTTGAAATGAATAGCATAGATCGTTGTTTGGATGAGTGTTATAGAAGAAACCATTGGTCTAGTATTTCAAAGGTAAAAGTAGAAATGCTCCGCCCACTTTAGGGAAGAAAGGGGGCAGTTTCATTTTGTAACATTTATTTTTGGGTGCAAATTTTTAGAAATCATATTTACAATGAATTGATTGATGTGGTTAGTGTTGATCTTCTGGAAATATAGTTTTACAACCTGCAAATTACTTTGCCAAGGTGTTTCTTTATAAGTTTTCATCTTAATGAGATGAGTAATCAAGTAGGTTATGTTGATAATCTTTTTAAACCTTATTTTATGCTTCATAACATGTCTTTTCCATCATACATTTATTTTTTATTTCAATTAGGTTTCATCTGTTAAACATTATTATAACGTTTTGTAACAGCTTGAAATCTAAGATGAAATAAATTATAAATTGAATGCGGAAGCAAAATAATAAAGTTACGGTTTACATTCCTTACACAATAATTTAAAATAACCAATAGAGATACGAGAATAACTCTTCTAAAAGAACAAGTAAAAAATCAAGAAATAAATAACAAGTAAACAATGAGATATTCTATGACAACCTTCACTAACATTTGAAGGGAGTCCGGGTGGTAAACTATTCAGAACCTCCTTATTGATCGGGATCTGGATTTTGGTCCTTCTAATCTAAAATAGTTAATGAAATGGTGAGCTACACTAGCATATTAAGAATATCACACAACTCACCGATACATAAATGAATGTTAGTAAAAATTATAAAAACAACTAATAGAGCTCTTAATTTAAGTAAATTCATTTATCATAAATAAAACTATTTATTACATATTTAATCTTTGCGAGATTTTCAAAACCGACCTATAGAAACAATAATTCAATAACATCATAATCTCATATTCAAGTAAGTAAAAATAACAACTGTTCCTTTTTATTTGCCTACTGGTATCTATGGGGATCCATAGGGATGTCCTACTACGCGTGAACCCATATCAAAACTTGTCAACTAACTAGCTGTCACTATACTCTGTCTAGTATGACCGCAAAAAATATCATCCCTCAATACCCCATCTGGTAAGATTGTAAAACGGATAGTCCCCACATCTCGTCCCATATGAACGCCAAAAATATAATCCATGTAATGCCCAAATTTATTTAATTTTAAATCAAATTAACTATAAATATAATTTTTTTAATTTTAATTTAGTATAAAAATGAAGGAAATGTGATAGATGATGAAATTAAAATAATTTTGGAAAAAATAAGTGAAAATTTGGGTCCTGGGGTATTTTGAAAGAAAAATCGAAATTCCATTGTCAAAATACAATTTAGAAAACTTTTGTCATGTAGGATGCCCGGTCAGCACTCTCGACGAATCAGGACACACCACGTGGCAACGGATGCTGACGCGGTACCACACGAGAGGCCATGCGGGCGATCCACGTTCCACGATCAAACTGCCCAGATCCATTCCAACGTGTACGGATGGCCTGGATGCATTCCTTCCCCAAACGCGATCGGACGGTCCAGATCAAATATGATGGATGGTCCAGATTAAATGAGAACATATATAAATAACTTTCTTCACATCAAACCCTAACCCTAGCCGCCCGAACGCCCTCACCAGAGAAGAAGACCCAGCTGCCGGGAAGGAGAACTGCCACCACCCGCCACTGCACTAGAGCCCTTCCCGACCACCAAAATAACTAAAAAATTTCTCATTTGCTCAGAATTCAATTCTAAACACCCCCATGGCCAAATCAGAGCAAAATAACTGGCTGATTGCCCGAAAATTACAGGTAAAGCCTGGCAGCACTACCACAAAATATTTCACAAAACGCATCCGTTGAGGCCATTCTCAATTCCTGTTTGGCATAATTTTTCTACCATTGTTATCACTGTTTCCTTCTCTATATGTTGATTGTAGCAAAACACCCAACCACAACGTGAGCCGGAGGAGCCACCACACTGGAGAGCTCCGCTGCAGGAGAGTTTCAGTTTTTTGTATTCTTTCGGCAAACTGAGGCTCCTTAACGTATTTTCTCACAGGAATCGATGTAAAATCGATCAAATTTGACTGAAAATGGCTAAAAGCTGTCAATCCAAAGCGGACCGCAGCCGCGAGTGGCGGCACCGTGGCCGGAGCACGGTGGAGTTATTGTGCCAAA